TGCCATGGAGCAGGAGATGGCATCTTGGAGATCCACCGGCACCTTCGTCGACGCAGTTCCCCCGCCTGGGGTGAACGTAGTCGATGGCCGCTGGCTCTTCAAGGTGAAGCGCCCTCCTGGAGAGCCGCCTGTCTTCAAGGCGCGCTATGTGGCTAGAGGCTTCAGTCAGCGTGAGGGGGTGGACTTCTTCCAGACCTTTGCTCCGACCCCGAAGATGACTACTCTTCGGGTTCTGTTACACCTAGCTGCCCAGCGTGACTACGAGCTTCACTCCCTCGACTTCTCCACTGCCTTCCTTCAGGGCAGCCTACACGAGCAGGTCTACCTACGTCGCCCTCCTGGCTTTACTGGCACCTTCCCTCCTGGGACCCAGTGGCTCCTTCGGCGCCCCGTCTACGGCCTGCGCCAGGCTCCCCGTGAGTGGCACGACACTCTCCGTGCTACACTTGCTGACCTGCAGTTCTTTCCGTCTTCCGCAGACCCTTCCCTCTTCGTTCGTGCTGGCCAGACTCCGTTCTACATCCTCGTTTACGTCGACGACCTGGTCTTTGCCACAGCCGACAGGGACGCACTGGCCTCCGTGAAGGCAGAGCTGCTGAAGAGACACACCTGCATTGACCTTGGAGAACTGCGCCGTTACCTTGGCTTGCAGAATCTCCAGGGACAGAGCTGCGCGCACCATCACCCTGACTCAGTCACACTTGGTGCGCCAGGTCCTTCAGAGGTTCAGCCTTCAGTTCTCCTCTGCACAGCCCACCCCTCTGCCTGTAGACCACAGGCTCTCCGCTCCAGTGTCTGAGGAGTTGGTAGAGCCCAGCGGCCCCTACGCAGAGCTGGTGGGTTGCCTCATGTACCTGATGACTTGCACTCGCCCAGATCTCGCGTACCCTCTCAGCATCCTGGCTCGCTTTGTGGCCACAGGCAGACACCGACCGCAGCACTGGTCTGCCGCTAAGAGGGTTCTGCGTTATCTTGCTAGTACATCGGGCATGGGGTTAGTGCTAGGAGGACGCAGGCCTGTGGTCCTTACTGGACACACAGACGCTTCGTGGGCAGACGACGCTGAGACACTCAGGTCTACCCAGGGCTACTGCTTCAGCCTTGGCTCAGGTGCTGTCTCGTGGAGAGCTACTCGCTCCTCGTCTGTGGCGCAGTCCAGCTGTGAGGCTGAGATCTACGCTGGTGCCATGGCGGCACAGGAGCTCCGCTGGCTGACCTTCTTGCTCACTGACTTAGGTGAGCGGCCTAGCTCTGCCCCGGTCCTGTTCGCTGACAACAGGGCCATGATCCTCCTGTGTCAGGTGCCTCGACTCGAGGGCAGAGCGAAGCACATTCAGCTGCGGTACTTCCTCCTGCGTGAGCTACAGCAGCGACGTCAGGTGCCAACACGGCTGATATCTTTACGAAGGCGCTTGCGCCTAAAGATCATCAGCGGCACTGTGTACAGCTTGGTCTAGTTCCTGTAGCCTCTCACTTGCTAGGACCTTGACTTTGTACTGTCCTTTATATGTATACTCAGACTGGACTTGTGTCCTCTCCCAGTGGCTGGACTAGTAGTGCCGCCCTGCTCTTGTTCTTGCCTTGTCTGTACTCCTTCTGACTGGTCTCTCAGACCCTTGTCTCAGAGGTTGGACTGGTAGTGCCGCCCTGAGCTGCTTGTTTATGACATTCCCCTATGCAGTCTAGGGGGTGTGTCAAACATGTGTATTTGTGATGTTTGTATAGACTATATAGGGTAGCCTCTTAGAGGGTACAACACTTAGGTATATCTGTGTGTACCCTCTCTCTAACACAATTACTTCTTCAATTTCTGATACAGGACTCTGAGTCGACATTCGGAACCCTGAGTATTTGAGACTCGTTGACCTTTGGACACTGAGATTTCAGAGTAGCGAAATTTCGAAAAATGACCCTTTAGACTCGGGAATTTTTTGGGGGGGCAAAATCAGAGTGCCTTTTTTTGAAATGTCAGCCCTGGTTCCGAGTTACGTCAATTTCGCGCACGTGTCCCCGCGAAATCCAAACGAGGTTAAAATCGGGTTACTTTTCACGAAATGAATAGAGTATAAATTATTTGGACCCGCCCTGAGATTACCGTTCGACTGACTGGGGGAAGTGCTTGGCTTACACGCCGTCAGATGAAAATCTAGAAAAGCTGGACGGTTGAAAAACACTCGGCACCTGGTGTTCCAAATTACCTTCCGCACTGAAATTGAAAGGCACCCCTGATTGACGAGAGTCTCGTTACCCCCCAATACACCCACGAAAACGCAACTTTCAAACGCACTGCGTTTGAAGACCACGCCTCGCAATGTGGGCCGCGGGCCTTAACGTCTAGACATAGAACCTAGCTGAATTAAGTTTTAATCATGTATATTCATAGATGTAGCTTTGCTCTTTGCGGTGGTGATCCAAGGCTGCTGATTTGATGTTGGAACCCAAAACCGTGCGAAGCGTCACTTGCTGCGAGTTCCGTGCAATGCCCTGTCAGGCGGGTGCAAGGGATCACGACGAGTCGCCTGCCCCAACGGTTACCAACCAACGTGTATTTTCGTCACCCAAGCTTCCCAGCCCAGACCGTGCTGTTTCTGGAGGGTGCTGCGGCTGGCTGATGGAGGGCCTCATGCACGTGCTGACTCTCATGCCAACGATCAGCACAAATTGGCACAGAAAGGAGGCGCTTCCATCCATACCATATCTATCGAACTGTCCCATCTCAGGCGAGGCGATCATGTTTTGCGATGACCACATCCGCGTCAAAGTGCCTGGTTCGCCTCCTTGTTACCTTGCTATGACTGAGCAAGATGCTAATAGTATCCTTGCCTGACAGCCATTTCTTAAGCCTGGTGATCCCTAGAATGAAGGGTGTTACATTTTCCCGTTTGATTAGGCGTTTAGTATTTTCGAGAGGCGCCTTTAGGATGGCCCAGACAGCCATGTCGTTAATCCTGATACTTCTTGTAACCCAGCAACTTATCTTTATGAGAGCAGAGGATATAGACTTCAAATCATCAACTACTGCTGGCATTCCCATAACTGTCAGTTCAGGTACGAGTTCTCGAAAGTCCACTCAATTTCCTTTCCAGTTCCCATAACTCTGTAGTCATGATGTTTTGTTTTCCTGCAGAGTTGTCAACTGGTGTCAGGTACATAGCAAGACATAACAGTCTATATCGGCAACAGGTAAAGCTTGGGCTGGGGCGTGACGTCGATGATCCGCTTTTTGTCACTTCGTCGTATCCTCACATGACTCCGTTCCGGTTCACAGGTCAAGGGACCTGGTCGCGGAAGCCCAGATAGCCTTCAAGATGGGGATGCAGCCGACCAGCGGTTTCTCCGTTTTGAATCTGAGAATGGTCGCAGCCTCAACTTTTCCGAGTCCAGCCAACTTCCTATGCGATTGAGGGAGTGTTTCCTTGCCGCGAGAGCGTACTTAGCTGTAGCTGATGAGTTCCAGGACAACGCATTGACAGAGCAAGTGCAGCAGGAGATTGAAAGATGCATTCTTATTCTGGACGAGGCATCCTCCATTGCTTCGTCAGATGATCAGACGGTTGCAGGCTTGGAAACGAAGCATCCGAAAAGCAAAACGAAGAAGGGTCCAAGGGATGGCAAATCTCCACTTTCCAGGCAAGTTCGAAGAGCGTGGTCTCTTTTCCTCTTTTCTAGCTGCCAGCAGGTTTTAACGCTCGGCGCTCTGACATTTCAGGTTGAAACTCCGACTTGAGGCTGCCGAGCATCAGACAAAAAGCGTTCTGCTTCAGAGCATGGTTTTCAGCCAAATTGCTTCCAGGGCAGTCCCACAAACCTTACATTGCCTTTCTCTTCGACTAACACTCGCGTGGACCAGCAATCAGAGCAACAATGGTGTCTCCGATCCAGGGGATGCGAGGCTTCGTGATCCGTCGCTGTATCACTATGCAATCTTTTCTGACAATGTTATAGCTGTCGCTGTCGTCTTGAACTCGACAGCGATGAATGCTGACGAGGTGGGTTGCTAGCCGTGAAGCAGTCTAGACTTTTTCATTGACAGGCATATTCGTAATATCCTCGTTCCCGTTTCATCTCCTCGCAGCCATTGAAGCACGCGTTTCACATTGTGACGGATCGGATGAACTACGCGGCTATGAAATCCTGGTTCATGCTGAATCCTCCAGCTGGAGGAATGGCGTGGGAGGTGAGAACAAGCCTTTTTCACCCTTGTCGATTTAACACGCTTATGCAGTGTTGCTAACTTTTACACCTTTGCGATGCAGGTACGGAGTTTAGATGAGTACCCGTGGATTAATCCCTTATACATTCCAGTGCTTCGTCAAATCGAGTCGGACGCAATGAGGGATTACTACTTTAGAACTGCGATGGGTCCTCGCGTGGCAGGAAATCCTGGGAAGGAAGACTACATTGACTTGAAGTACCGGAACCCCAAGTACCTGTCAATACTCAACCACTTGCGTTTTTACCTTCCGACAATATTTCCAGACTTGAGTAAAATCCTCTTCCTCGACGATGACGTGGTCGTCCAGAAGGACCTAACAGGAATTTGGGAGGTACGCAGAGCTCCTTCGGCAATTCTTGCCTTAGAAATCAAGGCGCGCCTACGAAACCGTTGATTGTTCTTGCAGGTCCCTATGCATGGAAAGGTGAACTTGGCAGTCGAAACGTGTGGGAAGGTGTTTCATCGGTTCAAGACCTACCTTAATTTCTCAAGCCCCCTTCTGAAGCGATACGATCCGGAAGGATGTGGGTGGGCATACGGGATGAACCTTTTCGACCTTGACGCATGGAGAGCTGGAAATTATACTGAAAAATATCACTATTGGCAACAACAGGTGAGATTCTTGTCCCATTCTCTTTCGATCTTCCCAGCCGAGGGCTAGCAGCTGACCTTTCCATTTGTGCGTCCTGCAGAACGAGAATCGTACGCTGTGGAAGCTTGGAACTCTCCCGCCTGGATTGCTGACGTTCTACAATGCCACAGAGTCTCTTGACAAGAAGTGGCAAGTTCTTGGCTTGGGGAGCAAAAGTACGGTGAATCTGGAGAGCATCAAGAACGCAGCTGTAATTCACTTCAACGGCCATGCAAAACCCTGGCTGGAGTTGGCAATACCTGTCTACAAGCACTTCTGGACCCGTTATGTCCCTTACGATAACGACTTCCTCCAACAATGCAAATTCCGGGAGCCAGTTCCAGATGTGTGAAGGACGACTTGCTCCAGAGTGAAGCCAACTGTAACTCTTCTCAAGGTGGTGGATGAGCTGGCACAGCGTCGACAACTTTCTTCGTGCACAGGACATGACAGGGCGCCTCTGCTGGGACAATACTTCTGCAATGCTGCTTTCTGCGGTGCTGCACCGATCGGTCAAGTAACAACTGTCAGTGCCCATCCGACCGACCATGCCAGGCCATCACACCTACTACTCGAGCATTGCACTGCTGTGGGAGCCCTTGGCTCCAAGAGGAGATGCAGCACCAGGCATAGCCACAACCAGCACAATCCATACAGCACCTAAGCTTTGCACTTCATCCTCTGACAGGTTGTCTCACCTGTTTTCTGTGATGTGCCTGCAGATCCTGGCCTGTCTGAACATCCAGAATGATTTTTGTAGAGTGGGCAATCGATTTTTTACTGCTACCCATGTGAAGCAGTGTACGGTAGTCAGCACAAAATTCATGGGGCTGTGAAGTAGAATGTTCGTGAATATGCTGTGCCACTGGCGTTCAGCCATGGTGTTACAAACAACGTTATGAATTGTTTGGGCTTCAGAAGGACCATTGTTTATGTTGTGATAAATGAAGTTTTGCATTCCTGCAAGTTCCGTTTTCAGTGTAGTTAGCTGTATCGAGTTTCTCGGTAAGGAAACAGGTCCGAGTGCTGACGTCAGCAAAGCATCACGGGTCTCGCGATTAAGTCAGCCTATCACTTCAGTTACGCGAATAGGCGTAGCGAGTCGCTTAAATCACGCGAACAGTCGCGACCCTATAGTATGACGAATAGGTCACATAGCGCGCAACTAGCCGAACAGGCACTTTCCCTAGAGCTATAAATCATTGTAATGCCTTTCTATTATTAACCTTGACTTTCCATAGAATTATGTGCTCAGGTTATTCAACCTTCTGTCAGAAACCCAGCCACTAACCACTGGGTTAAAAGGGCTTGTTGAATAGCGGGTAAGTGCGCCCATAGCCCCCCAGGCTCTGCACCTGTGGCCCTTCCCCGAGGATCTCAAGGGCAACCCCAGCGTGTCACTCAACACCCCCCCCCCCCCCAGGGCTCAAATTAGCCGGGTAAAATGCCCTGATTGCCCTGATTTTTCAGGGCATTTTTTCATTTGGTCTTAAAAATCAGACTTACGAAATTTATTACCCTGATCCAAAAAGTGTTACGAAAATATTACCCTGCCGAAACTAGGGTTGCGGGGCCCCGAACCCTGACCCTTCAGGGCGTCCTGAAAACTACCCTGGTATCGAAACTCCGAGATTCCGACTAAGTCCTTGGCGGCCAGAAACATTTCCCCCAAAACACCCTGCAACCAAAAATTTCGACGAAGTCCCTGGCAGCCAGAGTCATTCCTCCCACCCCACGCACCATGCAAGCCAGCAATTTCGGCTAAGTCATAGCCAGAGTCATAGCTCCCTCACCCCCTCGCAACCCAGAAATGGCTAAGTCCCCCACAAGAGACATGCCTCCCAACCACACCCCCGCTAATTTTTTTTTTTTTTTTTCGCTAAGTCCTCCACACCACAGCAAGACACGTCACGTCGTATACGCCCTTCTGTTCTGACACCCAACCAATCACGAGCAGCTGGTTTTTTTCCCGCCCCTCTGCCGCCCATGTAAATCTGATTCCCCTCTCGCGCCCCAGAATCGTTTTCCGTCCCATCCCATCCCCCAATCTCCCCCAGCACGCGCAAATCCGCTACACCCTTCTTTCCACACCTCAGTGCAGCCCACTTCATTCATGTAAAATGTTCCTTAAATGGCCAAGGCTAGAAAGGGTGCAAAGAGTTCTACACTTGAAGCAAAGACTTCGAATTTTTTTACCCTGCCAAATCAGACTTAGAATTTTTTTAGCTCTGACCGTCAGGGCATTTTTTTTTTCCTACTCTGATCTCAAAGAGTGGCCTAAAACCAATTTTGGGCCCTGCCCCCCCCCCGCTGGGATAGGTGGAAGACACGAGCGCCTCTGCAGCGCTGGCACTGGGAGTTGAACCCAAGACCTTTGGCTCTGATACCATGTCAGAAACCCAGCCACTAACCACTGGGTTAAAAGGGCTTGTTGAATAGCGGGTAAGTGCGCCCATAGCCCCCCAGGCTCTGCACCTGTGGCCCTTCCCCGAGGATCTCAAGGGCAACCCCAGCGGGTCACTCAACACCTTCGACTACCCACAAGTTCATGTGCTCAGGTTCACTCCTATAAGACTTCCGCTGTCTTACTAGTCTACCATTCCAGCAAAGATCCTTGGTTAAGTACTCGTGGTTGCAGATTCTATACTTAGTCTCCTGCGTTAAGATTATATAAGTTATATATATTTGATAGGCTTGGTAGTTGTTACTGAACCTTTATGTAGAGGATACAATCCCCTCCTTGTACCTCTCTCTCTTCCTAATCGTGACTCTTCTTTCTCGACATGTTCTCCCTCCTAGATCTACTTTCCCCCCGCCATTCCATGGCGGCCTTTCTAGTCTCCTAGCTTACTAGCTAAGCTAGTGTCCTAAGTATTTAAGATGGTATCAGAGCCGATCGTTTCCACCGAGCCCGCTCACGCTTCCGCCCCTACGCTCCTAGCCGCCCCCCTGGCCGTTCGCGCCCGTCCCTAGCCGGCCCCCTGGCCGTTTGTGCCCGTCCCTAGCCGGCCCCCTGGCCGTCGCGCTCGTCCCTAGCCGGCCCCCTGGCCGTTCGCGCCTGTCCCTAGCCGGCCCCCTAGCCGTCGCGCTCGTCCCTAGCCGGCCCCCTGGCCGTTCGCGCTCGTCCCTAGCCGGCCCCCTGGTCGTTCGAGCCTGTCCCTAGCCGGCCCCTGGCCGTCGCGCTCGTCCCTAGCCGGCCCCCTGGCCGTCGTGCCCGTCTCTAGCTGGCTCCCTGGCCGTCGCGCTCGTCCCTAGCCGCCCCCTGGCCGTTCGCGACCGACCCTAGCCGGCCCCCCTGGCCGTCGCGCCCGTCCCTAACCGGCCCCCTGGCCGTCGCGCCCGTCCCTAGCCGACTCACCCGCCCTCGCGACCATGTGTAACCGTCGTCGTGGCGCTGCCGCCGCAGCCCCTGAGCGTAACGTCGACGCCGCACCTCAGCGTCGGCGTCGTGCTGTCAGCACGGCGTCGACGTCCCGCAGTGGCATCGACGCCGCACCGTGGCGATGTCATAATGCTGCGGCGGCGGCGTCTTCGGACTGCGGCCGGCCAAGCGACATCTGTGGCGCCGCCGGACCTGCCGCCCGCTCGCCAGCCACGGGTGTCACTCAGGACGCCGTCCTCCCGCCAGTAAGCGCCGCGCCATTTATGGCGCGTCGCTGAAGACTCGCCACCGCCCCCGCCCCCATTCTCCCTTCCCCCTGCGTCTCCTCCTGCTCCTGTTGCAGCTGCTGACTCCTACCCGGTCGTCGCCGGGCCGTGAGACACCGCCGAGAGCCCTCAGCCGCGGCCGTTGCCTTTGCTGCCTCTCGGCGGGATGTCACCACGTCAAGCACGAGGGGTAGATGCCCGGCTGCTTACGAGCATGGGGGTGTAAGGGTGTCGGGGGTGTGGTGTATTGGGTGGGTGTGTGACTACCAAGCATAGGGGGTGTGTTAAGATTATATAAGTTATATATAATTGATAGGCTTGGTAGTTGTTACTGAACCTTTCTGTAGAGGGTACAATCCCCTCCTTGTACCTCTCTCTCTTCCTAATCGTGACTCTTCTTTCTCGACATGTTCTCCCTCCTAGATCTACTTTCCCCCCGCCATTCCATGCCGGCCTTCCTAGTCTCCTAGATTCCTAGCTAAGCTAGTGTCCTAAGTATTTAAGATCCTGCACCACCTGTCCAATTATTTCATGGTATGAGTGTTAAAGTATATATTGAGTTATATAATTGTTAGGCTTGGTAGGTTACCGAACTTTACTGTAGAGGGTACAATCCCCTCCTTGTATGCATCTCTCTTTCTATTCCAACTCTATTTTCTCTCCTCAAATTTCCTCCTTCCTAAACCTCACGCCACTCCATGGCTCCTCCTAGCTAAACCTCATGCCTTTCCTAGCTTCCTAGCTAAGATAGCCTTCTGACATGGTATCAGAGCAGGAGGTCCTCCCTGCTGGACCGCCTCCTCACGCTTCCGCCGCGTACTCGTCGCCCTCGTTCGCTCGCGCGGCCATGGCATCCGCGTTGTGCTGCAGTGGCGGCGTCGTGATACCGCTGGCCGCGTCGTGCCACTGCCGTCTCGATGCGCTGCTGTGGTGTCGGGCCGTCATGCCTCCGTCGCAGCGTCGACGTCCCGCCGCGGCGTCGACACTTCTCTGTGACGGCGTCGTTGGGCTGCAGCAGGCCGCGCGACACCTGTGGTGCTGCTAGACCCGCCGCCCGCATGCCAGCCTGTGGCGCCCCCCTCCTTCCCCTGTGTCCTCTTCCTTTCCGCAGACGACGGCTGACTCCCGCCGGCCGTCCCACCGTCGCGGGGCCTGGCCACGTCACCGAGAGGTGCGGGCGCCGCCGTCGCCGCCGCTGTTGTCGAAGCTGCCGCCGCCGCTGCCGCTGTTGCCGCTTGCGTCGGGGCCACGCAGCCGCAGGCCGCCGCCGCGCCGCTGTTGACACTGCCGCCGCTGCCGCCATCGCCGCCGCAACCCCTACGGTCGACGTCGCCGCCTCACGCGCCGAGGGGTCGACCGAGCTAGTGTCGCTGTCACTGTGGCTAGAAAGGGGGTGCTAGGTTAGGGGGTGTGGGTGTGTGTGGGCATGTGACTACCAAGCCTAGAGGGTGTGTTAAATTATATATTGAGTTATATAATTGTTAGGCTTGGTGGGTTATCGAACTTTACTGTAGAGGGTACAATCCCATCCTTGTATTCCTCTCTCTTTCTATTCCAACTCTCTTTTCTCTCCTCAACTTTTCTCCTTCCTAAACCTCACGCCACTCCATGGCTCCTCCTAGCTAAACCTCATGCCTTTCCTAGCTTCCAAGCTAAGCTAGCCTTTTGACAATGAGAGCTATCTGGAATTAAGACTACTGTCAACAATGACTGGTTCATCACCAGCACCGTCTGCCGGATCAACTTCCAGAACTACTGGAGTACATGTCTCCACGACCGCCACTAGTCTCTCAGCCTCTGGACCATTTCCACCGGCTTATGCACATATTGGTATGCAGCAGCAGCAGCAGCAGAATCTATCTTCTGCCAATACTCCAGGGATGTCATCAACTGCCCCTGTAGCACAACACCAACAAACACAGACAACAGCACAACAATAAGCATCAGTTCAACAACAGTCATCAGTACAACAACAACAACAACAGCAACAACCACAACAATTTCAGCAACAGCCTCAACAACCGGGCATTATTTTTCAACCGCCAAATTTGCTTAACAGTATACAGATTAAGACCACCATACCTTTTAACTGAGTGGATTTTTACTCCTGGAGTTTCGAGTTTGAGCTTCTTGCGCAGTCCGCTGGGCTATGGCCGTTCTTCACCGGCGAGTTTAGTTATCTTGTCGTGGGAACACAACTGGAGCAGCAGAGTTTCTTGCATGCCTCTCTCGGAACATATACGGTTCTTGTTCGAAACCTGTCGCCGAAGGAGCAACTCGGTGTCCGATCGTTTCA